TATAATATATTATAACACTGTTATCTTTGTTATTTTATGGATAAAAAAATATAAATCAACTAAGAAGATTAATGAGAAAATGTTACAAAATTCTATACACTTCAGTGATTCCAAATATTTTTAACGTAGGTACTTAGATGACATGTAACCTAGTGTATTAGAAATTGTAAACTACAAAACGATTTTCTAACGTTTTATGGTAAAACTTACATGTAAAACGATTTCGATTTAAAAAAAAAACATGTGATATTTTTCTTTAAGCAAAAACATAATTTAAAGCTAATGCGTAAAAATGTAATGTCATCTTTAAAATTTACATAAAAAGCGAAGACTTTGTATGCCTCAAAATAGTTCTGTTATATAAAAGGTTAAGCTTAATACCGGGAAGAAATAAAATAACAAACGTTAAAAAAAACGTTTTGTATTTAAAATTATAAAATGGAGACGTTAATATTTTGAAAGGAATACTAAATTATGCTGTAATACATAAACGGAAACTTCAACACGGGGCGTTACAACATTTGACTTTTGTTATTTGTGTGAATAAATTTCCATAACTTAAAGGACATGCCGTATGACGAGAGGAATAAAAGTTGACAAAGTATTAAAACAAATAAAGTTAAAAGGTGTTATTAGCTTTTAAACTTTACGGTTTATCATGTCGACCGGTCCATATATATTAGGATTTCTTTATAGTGACTGCGAATTCGACTTAAAAACAACTCCAACGCGTTATTACAATATGTTTACTGGTAATAGATCAAATAATTGGGCAGTAATAATAAAACGATATTTTCATGAATAGACCACTTAACAATAAACGAATGTTTTGTAGTGTAGCTGTTAAAGAAACGAGACGGATTATTTGGGTTTGCTGTAAGTTCGACTAGGATTTATTTGAGCTCAAAAATGCCGGAACGTGATGTTTATGCTATACGTTGATATTTGTCTTGAAACCAAATATGTGGAGTAATAAAAGTATGATGAATAATAATTCAAACGCAATGAATTCTACAAACTAAATATTATAAATATTATACCATGTACAAAGTTAAATCTGTCGAGCTGAAGGTCATTTGTACGTTGGCTGTTTTATTAAATTATATAAGTGCTCGAACATTTCACCGTTTTAATATCTTTCTATGTACTAAAATATATAGTACTATGTTGAAATCTAAAATGAATACTATATTAGTATTTTATTACATTTTTTTTTACACCTACAATTATTATCATAAAAATTAAAACTGAATGTCAATGAGAATGAAGGATTAGTTGATATTATTCTATTTTGAATTCCATTTAAAGGGGGTTAATAACAAAAAAAGTTATTAATTTAAAAACACTGTCATATTTTTTTTTTTTAATTTATGACCTAGAAACAGTTTTTTTATTTAAAAATAGAAGAAAATTTAAAACAAATTTCTGAGCATAAGAATATTGTTTAATACTTTTCTCTCTATATTTATAATTACACGACATAACAATATCAACAAAGAAAATAGTTAAGAAACTAACTTACATTTTTGATATTACACATAATATCAAAAGGGTCCAGCGACAAAATGTAAATGTTTAATAATTTATTACTACAATAAAATTGTCTGTTGTTTGCGCTTTGTACAGCTGAAATACGACTAAAAAAATAGTATTTTAGACATGATTTACATGTTGAACGAGATAATATATAGTTTATATAACAATGCGATATTATAATCTTATTAATATTCTAAACAGCTTATTCTGCGTTGCCTGAACGCCGACATGATGTGGACCAGTGAACGTGTTACGCGACGGTTTTTCCAAACGAAATGTATACTTTGGTTTGCTCGTTTAGTTTATTTATGTTGCAGAAAAACAGAAAACGGAATATATACTACATTAAGTTCAAAGACGGTTATCTAATATAATAATGCACAGAACCGAGGTATGGTGACGACAGTCGAACCATACAATAAATATATAATATAAAACATGTTTTGATCGCTAATGGCGCAGAAACGCCGAACAGTGGGTGCATCCAGTCGTCTGAAAAATACTGGAAATCAATAATTTTTGTCATGGCGCAAAAATAAAAGACACATGTCACGTACTGAATTTTTTTTTATTCTAGAAAACTCGAAAAACTTATAACTGGAAGCCGTTCGTTTTGCCAAATGGTCTGTACAGTTTATGATAAAATGGAACGAGGTCAAACAAATCTGATTTCTATGGAAAATTATTCGTTACCCGATATCGAAAACGGTCAATACTTAAGTAAAACAACCGTTCAACGCTCAGCCGAATAAAAAAAAGAAAAAACCACATTAAAATAATCTTCTAACGGTGAATTTGGAATAACAAAAAGCTGTCTACCTTAATTGGCACAATATTATTATATCGATCGACAAACAAATTTAATGATTAAAATTGAGAAAATCGTAACGTGTACAGAGACCGAAAGATGATTCGGAGGAGAAAAATCTTGGAAGCAGCTCAGTATATGTATAATAATATATTGAATAATGAGGTTTATCTATAAAAAGTAAAGCCATCGTTGATAAACGACGTCATGTATTACAAGTTAATACGGGATGAATTCAAATCCGCTGACCTTATTTGCTTGAAGGATAAAACTAATGTGAACAGTAATAGTATTATATCACCGTGAAGGTGTTGGGATTTAGTTTGTTAAGCGCCTTTGTGCGATATCTATATTGATGAGTTTTTTCTTTCTTTTTTTTTAATAATTAATCTACATTGGATACCAAAAGTTCTGTTAAGTCTGACTCCTATCCCACCGACGAATGGGATCGTTTATTTATTTATGTTTTGACGACGATTCTTTCCTCGCTGCACTCTTAAGATTTTCGGAATTTGGATTTATAAAGGGCCAATTAAGTTTGGCGAGCGGAACTAATAAAAGCAGCAAAAGTCTCCGTTACGGTTCGTCCGAAATCAGACAATTCTCAGGTTGTAAAAGTTTATCTATTGACACACAATTACTTTCGGGAAAACGGCGGAACCGGAACAAAGTTTCTTTAATACACTCCTTAGACACATCATTATAGGGCTATTCTCGGAAATCAAACTTAAGCTTTACTCGCCAAGTTTAACAAAATTATAGAAGTGAAATTCGAAATAGAACCGAAACTACAACTGTAGTACATTTGAAATGTCTTAGAAACAAATAAGTTATTAACTTTTTTTTTAAAGTAAAGGACATTAATGAGGGTCTATGCTATATCTTTCCCTTATGCATTGTCCCTTAATTACTCGACTTGAAAACAATTGTAATTTAAGATACACTTTACCTAAAAATAAGTATCTTTATAAACTTTTTTAATGGCTCGGTGAAGTTTTTTTAATGACCTAATCTGTTTTTTTTTATTATAAAATATATATTTATTTTATTTGAAACTTTAACAAATTTTAATTGTTGAAATAAACGTATCCAAGTTTAGCCTGGTCCGAGTACGTGGGTCATTAACTAAATCTCTTGCAAATTTTTCCAATCTTTTTTTTTTTTATCACGGTATCACCCACACTGAGAGGGGGATACTTTCGCTCTATCCCATTAAATGTGTCCAATCTTAAACAAAACCGTTTTTTCCATAAGCACTTAAAACTTAAAACTTAACTTTGCTGTTACAGCTAAATTTATATGATTATAATAGTACACAATAAATTACAATAAACTAGAGTCTAGAACGAAAACTAGGTATTTTCTGAAAAAAACTTCCTGCTAACTCAAAACATTATAGTTGTACTACATTAACATCAAATAGCTTAAACTCAATGGTATAAATAAAAGGCTGAATAAACAATGGGTACCGAGTGACACTAATTACTTCATCTGCTTTTTTTAATATCAAAATTATCAATAATAACTCAATCATGTTTTTTATGCCCCCCGCGCAATATTTAAAGTCCACAACAATCAACAATTAAAATAATAAATTTAGCTAAACAAAAAAAATAATACTCAGCATTTATTATTATACATTACTGGTTTAATCTGATTTACCCTCAATAATTATAATAACCAAATATAAACATAATTAAAACTTGTAGTTTTTATTAAATCGTTTTATCCGTTCATTAAATATATCGATATCGTTGTTTTAACAAACAATAAAACAATTATAGTTGTCACATGTGAAACATTTCCTGAATACCTTCTAATAGTATCTAGTGAAACTAAAAGTTATTAGCTGATGATGTTTGTATTGTGAATTATATTTATCCAATCAACAAGATCACTAAAAACAAGTTGGATAAAATATAAACTAATTGTGTTATGATTATAGATTTTATGAAAAAAACAATTTTATTTTATTTGTTCACTATAAACGTACCATTTTAATATAAATAAAATATATTTTTAAATTCCAATTAATAGAATTTACAGTAGAATATAAACATCATGAAAATATATTAGTTGTCATTCAATAATTCAATAGGATTTCTGATAAACATTATATTTGTTTCATTTACTCTTTCGTCTGAACCAGATGTACTTTTTTTCAAGTAGACATATTTTTGAGGTTTTATTCAGATTTTGTAATTGGTTTATTGCGCTACGTTATAATAACGAACGTCTTTCCGAGAAAAAAATTATAGAAACTGAGTAAGTTCGATTTCACACTGAAATTCAGCTAATCAAAGGTTTAATGGCAACTATAGAAGTGTCTAGTCATCCGTGACAAAATCGGTGAGTTGCGGTTGAATGAACAGATTTGAATATTCCACGAACGTCTCGTCAAATTTCGTCTCTGGTTATTGCACACCGTCTCCAACAAGATCTGCATAAATAAGTAAATTGGGCTTTCAACGTTTGATTTCGGTTGATTTAGTGCAACTACTAGAATATCACAAACTTACAATAATAATTAATGATCATTTATTTAGAATGTATATTTTTTGCGCTATGACACTGTGTGAAATAGTTAAACAAATTTTACAGCGAATATTTACTCTAAATTTAATCGATATGTCTATTTTGTTTTGTATTTTCACAGTTTTGTGGCTACAATTATTATCAACGGTTTCGAGAAGACAGAGTAAAGAAGAGTAAAATGTGGTTGTCAACATTGGTGTCGATCTTGCATTTAATTAACTTGGCGTTAACTTTGTTGACCGTAATCTGCGTGTTTGTATTCAGGAAGAGAAGGGTAAGTTATTTTAAACTATTACTGCCGTTTTCCTTTTATTATAATATATTAGATTATAGAAATCGCAGATATTTAATATTTAAAAAAAACCAAATGCATGTTATAGAAGAAAATAAATTAAAATGTTTTTTAATAAAAACAGGCATTGAACCGTTTCGGGAAAAATTAACTAATACAATATGTTCTTTTTCTTAACGTTGATAAAAGTTAGATAAATCCATTGTGATCCAGTCTAGGCCGTTCGCCGTCGTTACACTCAATAAATTTTAAAATCAAACGTTAGATTTTCACCGTTTTTTTTTCTTTGTACAAGTTTATGACTACACGACACGCGGACGGCACTGTTCCGTCTTATTATTGTCGTTTTTGCTGCGAAACTTGTAGCAGCGATTCGGAAATGATTTTCCACGAATGGTACACGCGAGAAAACTCGGTTGGGTAATAAATAAATACAAATCCTAGAGAGCGAAATATGTGTAGAATTTGCGAGGGAATTTACTTTTATATTATAATATAAATCGTCAAATCGGATTTCACTGGAAAAACTTTATTCGAAACATGCTTTTATCGCACTTTGGAATATAAAATAAAACATTGGAACGTGGACAATTCTAACTCCACAAACACAATGTCAAAAAAATGTATATATATACATATAATATTTGTATTTATGTTTTTCATAAAAGAGTAATTCTAGGAACTCTGTCTCTGACCCCCCCCCCCCCCCCCGAGTTTCGTTTGTTTCATCATCAAAACGTTATTTCGCCTTTTGTGTAACATTATTATTTTTTTATTATTATAGCATAGAGAATAACGCGAAAACAAAAGTTTTCCCTATACCGAATACAGTTGGGGATATATTTTTTTTTTGTTTCCCAGAAGAGCAAACGATTTTGAAATCAGCGAAATGATTATGCTGGTGCGTTGACACAAATATAATACAACTTAAAGTAGCCAATAAAAACCAGAGAAACGCGCAGTAACTGAATACAAATAGAGTATATTTTCATCTACATTTTTTTTATATATAAAAACACACAACTAGCAGTTTTGACAACAACACAATAGGGTTGCCATATAATTTTTCACCCAAAGAGATAACGCTGTATATCAACAGGGCGAAAGGAGAAATTGTTTTTATTAAAGAAAAGCATAAGAAAGAACTCGATTTTTATTTAAATGCAAATTTGTACCAATATTTTATATTCTGCAATATAAATCGTGCAAAAAGAATCACAGTCCAAAATGTAAAATTCCTAAAGCAACCATAGAGGCGCACACATCCTTTATAGTGCCCGAGTTGGTGCAATTTAGTTTTATTTCCCGTTTGGGATGACGGTAATGTACACACCTGTCACGTTTTCGACCGAGTTATTTATCTGGTTTAACCTGTGGTGTACATACAGACATAAAGAAAGAACGAGTGGTCACCGCGGTTGGCACGACCCAAGTTAATCAATTAGGAGGTTTCCGGGTATTTTGTGCACACGCTTCAACGTGAGACGATAGTTCCTATCAAACCGTGCAACTACCGCCGGTCTTCGTGTATTCACTTCCTATATACATTTATATACTAAACACCATATATCATAAAAACGGAATCTGTCAACTCCTTGGAAGTTACATTGTTCTCTGGGCGCCTGTCGCGTGCAGGTACTAGCGAAGCATTTACACTGCCCAGGCTTGTAATTTCTCTAAAAGCTTTTATATAAAAATTATCTAATTTGGACAACGGGGAAAAAAATACGGAGCAAATCGATTTACCCTTATAAGCCCAAAAACCTGGCAAAATAATTACTTATATCCAAACGAGTAAACCAAGAATTTTTTGTCAAACGTATGTGAAATTCATTATACCTTTGCACGGTTAAACTATTATAAATAACAGTTTTTAGATAGTAAAGTTTTTGAGGAAGATTTTCAAATAAAAATTTCAGATAATATCAAAATGAAAATACGAATTTATCCAACATATTATTAGTTAACATATTATATAAATACATTATAAAACAGCTTTAATAATACTAGCTAGAAATTAAAGATTTTAAAGAGTAGAAAACACATCGTATTAAAAAAATGCAATAATCAAGAAGATTCTGTTTTTTTTTTCAACCAAAAGGTTGATAAAATGTTGACTAGTTGACTATTTAGAATGGTCCGTTCAATTCTGTAAAGACACAGACACAAATTCTTTGGCTAAGTTATTAGGTCATGTTGCTAATGAATGTTTTTATTCTTATGTAAAAAAAATGTAAAATCATAAAGTTAAAATATTTTACCAGGAACTCTTCTTGGGCTTTTAACGGGTTTATTGTTCGACAATCGTGTACGTCCAATGAAAACCAGCACGTTGAAAGACAATTTTGAAATTTCGCTTTTAGAAGTAGGTATTAGTAGATTTTTTTTTTGCAGATTTTACGAAGGCCTATTTTACAAACCGTAGCTGTTCTCAAACGATAACGATTTATAACAAAAGCCTGTTTGGAAATTATTGCGGACAGGGCTCGGGACGGTTGTTGGGGTCACTTTACAAACAAAATAGCAATAGCCGTTATCCAGATCCGGTGGTGGCCGATGCGGCGCCAGTAGAAATAATAATTTATCTCGTTCCCACGTATTTGTCTCCCGAACCCGGCGTGACATTCAGGTGGCGGTCATTATACCGTTCGGGTAGACTTGAAAATAAACCATATTATTTGCTCTGTTTTTCTTTTTTTTTTTTTAAATAAAAGTGACGACGTCGAATTTGTCAAACAAAACCCAAGTCGACATCGCATACAATTTAACCTAATATACATATATATAAGTACATCTAATGGCAAAGCCTGTACTCGTCACTCGCGGCAGCTCTATTTTCCACGAGATATCAAATTAGAAAGCAGCGCCCGAGAGATGATATTTTTTTCCGGTTAATACATACATATAATGCAAATGTGCACAATAGCTTAACCGAATACATTATTTCATATTCTCCTGACGCAGGGCTCGGAGCTTAGTATTTATGTGTAGTACTTACCTACGCCTTAACAAAACAAAATATGTATTCACCGTTATTATATTATTTCCTACCTGTCACAGGGGAAATTATTATACACAACCATAAATGCGTACTGCTACGGGATTTGTCATAAAAAAAAAGCTAAGATCACATTTTATGTTGGCGGCTTTCACAAAAAAAAAAAAAGCCATACCAATTATTTATTATACATTTTTTTATTAAATTATTTTTTGTAGCAGCAACTTTGCGAGAGTAGAACTGGAACTGAATAGCTTTAAGAATTGTTTCAATATTATATTTAGAAAAATATAGGAAAACTGCGTACAATAGCTCAACCCTGACAAAATTAGTACAGTCTAAGTTGGTAAAAGTTGTGTGGCCTAGAGGAATCACCAGATGAAAATCATATCTGTATTGTGTCCAATAACTTTTATTTTCTAATAAAAAAATGTCCAGCTTTTAATAAAATTAATAAATAATTTTTGATAGGTAAACTCAAAATGTATTATCACAAAACTGGTAAGTCTTAAATAGTTAGGCCAACTAATTGTTAAGTTAGAGCAGCTATACTTTTAGTTGGTCTCTTTATTTAGTCATTTCAACTTAACATATCATTGTGTCACTATTTTAACTGTACATACTTTTCTTGCAATTAACAACTTCAAAATAATAGCGATGGATGCCTTAGTTTGGCAAACGATTTGAAACAGTGATTTTACCATAAAGGGTATGGATTTTATTTCATTTTTTTCCGCCGCTACTTAAGTAGAAACATTGATAAAGTCTGTTGTAAACTTACTTTTTAAGTATTTCTGTTGATTTTTAAAAAAATAACCAATTTTTGCTACCTTAATCGCATATGGAGGGCTCAGTACATAAGTCAGCAAAGTTTATTTTTTGTGAGGTTTTTGGCGTAAAAGTAATATCTTTCAGTCCCACAGTGAATCGAATTCTTAGTTCATCGCAATGCCACAAAATGGCAACATGTATAACATTGTACCACAGAATAGATTAAATGAAAAGCAATTTAGAAACCAATTACTGAAAACCAGCTGTGATAAACTTGATTCACTTGTATTCAGAACCATCCATATATGTTCTTTATATATTTATCAAGACAACATCTGATAGTTTTCAAACTATTATTGTTAGGCTAATATTATTTTTATTATTAGGTAGCTATATAATTTAAAATTCAGCCATATTAAAGATTACACCTGGGTAAAAGCACAACTAAAAAATTCCTGTTCATTATCACCACTAGGAAAGTTCATGGATGAATTCGCAAAATTTGCACAGTAAAGAGAACCCTTCAAAAGACTTTGGAACTAGACGCGATAATAATAATTTTCATTTATTAACTTAAAGCTTCATTATAGCCGAGTATAATAGGCAATACATACTTACAAGAAAATTCTAAAACAAATTGTTCCCATATTCTCGGTGTTAGTTACTACTTTTTGGCTTTACCCTGGGCCGCAACCGCTTCCATTGCCTTCTTGACGGTCTCCTTATCGCCCAAGAACTTCATCGAGACCAACGGACGGAAATCTTTGTCCAGTACATACTCAAACGGAATACCGGTAGGAAGGTTCAAGTTCATTATGCATTTGTCGGATATGCAATCCAAGTGTTTCACTATACCCCTGAGACTGTTGCCGTGCGCTGCTATGATGATACGTTTGCCAGCTTTCAGTTGTGGAATGATCACGTCATTCCAATAAGGCAGCGTTCTTTTGATCGTTAACTCTAAAGATTCGGTCATGGGAAATTCATTCTTGCACGGCTCGTCCTTGTACCGAGGGTCGTTCACTATGGTTTTGTAGTACTGGTGACTTTTTTCCATAGGAGGCGGCGGCACATTGTAACTGCGTCTCCAGACTTCTACTTGTTTTTCGCCAAACTTTTTTGCGGTGTCGGCTTTGTTCAAACCGGTGAGATCGCCGTAGTGACGTTCGTTCAACCGCCATGTCTTGCAAACGGGAATTTTCTCCAGTTTAAGTTCTTTAAGAATAATATTCAACGTGTCCTGCGCTCTCTTCAACAACGACGTGGCCGCAAAGTCGAACTCGTATTTGCCTTTTGCCAGTGCTTTGCCGGCACTTAGGGCTTCAGCTTCGCCCTTGCAACTCAGCTCCGAGTCGTACCATCCGCAAAATAGATTTTTTTTATTCCATTCGCTCTCGCCGTGTCTCACCATAACTATTTTGTACTTGACTTCCTCGCATTTGTCTTCGCGTTTTTCCGCACATTCATCTGGGCACTTGGGAGGACATTTGGACGGAGGACACTTAGGCGGACATTTGGGCGGAGGACACTTAGGCGGACATTTGGGTGGAGGACACTTAGATGGACATTCCGATGGCTTCTTCGGTGGGCAGCCGTCATTGCACGACGTTTTTGGTCTGATTTGCTGCAGCGATGCGGGAATGGTTTTCCCAAATCCGGACCAGGCACATCTTCGGAGATTGGCCAAAATCATTTTTCAATGTATGAATTGTAGGTAAAAAATTCGATAATAAGATTTGAATAAAAATATATTTGTTTAATTATGTATAGTTTGCAACGATAATTTTTTTCAACTATTTGGTTGTCAGCAAAAAATATTATTTTACCTATACACTATTTGTATACAACCAGAATGTAACACAGTTAACTAGCGGAATAAAATACCGAATTGGACCAATTGACACTATTACAAAGCAGTAGATTTTCCACGAAGTCTCCAATTTTCTAAAACGGTAGAGTCTATGGCAGAGATCAGTAGAGAGGGGCTTGGGATTCTAAAACCCTTAAACTTAAAATTAGTACCACATTTATTTTTATTTCGACAAATCTCCCCATAAAAAAAAATGTAGGTATTGCAGTAACTTTATGTTTTAAGATTTATATTATACCAAGCCTCCTCTGATCTTCGCCAATGGGTTTAAATTAATACGGTTTAGTTTTCAAGCGAATCCTCAATCTCCGCTGATCTTTGCCTATGATGTTATAACAATAACTTTAAGTAAGACTGGCCAAGCCTGCCGTTTGTTCAGTGTACAAATGGAAGCTAAACTAAACTAGGTCAAGGCAGAGTTTCTTCTTTATCACCCAACGCTGAGATTCCATGTTTAAGTTTTCAAAGTTGATTAAGAAATACTATTAAATAGATAACGGGTGTAATATCATTATTTTGTATTCTTGGGAGCCCATTCTCTCTTCGGTGTCTGATGAAAATCTTTAAGCCGAGCTTGTATAATCCGATGCCGTGTTCAGTGATGCTTTATCGCAGGTATTGAATAGACCGTGACTAGCTTTATGAATATAACAGCCATTACTGAAAACAAAACGACCCAGAAGCTTCATTCAGTAAATCAGTGGGGAGTTATCTTAGTTTTCTCAAAAACGACGAATTTCATTGAGTAGACGTGTTCAAAACATTTGATTATTCTAGAGATATATTTTAGTAAAAGGTCGAATTTACATATAAATTGTATGAAAAATACATAGTTTGCCTTAATCTGGTTTAAAAGATAAAAAATTTCCATTTTAAATACTTGTATACATAACAACAACAATAAGGTTTAATGCTGTCTTAAAAACCGTTTATAGACAATACCGGTAGAGCCATTCAGATTATACTACAACTAATCTTGTATATTATTACATGCATTGTTATAAAAAAAGATTTTCGTTTATAAATACACAACATAAATAACAGTGAACAATAACACATTAGAGCTTTTTTAATTAAAGCATTAGCTTAATCGTACTGCTATAGTAAAGATTAGTATACAAACAAAGTTTCAGAATAGAAATATTATCACATAAACTAACTTGCTACACTCGGATTTTATTTCTTTTAAACAAAGCAAAATAATTATTACTTAAGATTAAACTAACGTTTAAAAGCTAACGCTCGCATCTGTTTACTATAGGACTTTAGGCCAAACTACGGGCATTTCGGTTTAATCTTTATTGCTACTGAAACATTAAATTCTGCCTTTTTCTGTGTACAAACTTTATACACATACAGTCATAGTTTGATTGTACACTGAAAAAAAAACAAAATTATTTTTAATAATTTAATTGTTTAATTTAAATGTCTAAAATAATTAAAATATATTTATATTGTAATTATTTTACACGTGGTTTAAGAAATGTATAATTCTAAAAATACTAAAACATAAAACTATAACGCTTAAATCATTTTTTTATTAATCAACACAGTGAATTGTAATTGTGTAAAACTTTAATGAGACATGCGTAAGACAATATGTTGGGAACAAGTACAATTATTATAAAAAATATTTATTTTTTAATGTCATTTATTTTTTTTATAAATCAAAATAATTACAAATACAATACCGAAAACTAGTTTTTCTATGAAAAATAACAATAGTTAATAATTCTCAATCAATATTGGTTCCAAAATCATTTATACAATTATATGAGTATAAATACATACTTTCTTATGGAAACCAATCGACTTATTATGACTAAAGTGTTTTTATTTTTTTTTTTACTACGAACCCAAATCGTTTATTCATTTATTTTGCAATTTAACTATTCTTTTGATGTTTTTCTTTTTGATATTAAATGTTAAATGGAACACTTTTATTGTTTTATTATATTGCACAGTATGACGCTGACTACAAAATAGTGTTTTTTATAGTATTCGGATTTTCTATTTTCAAGCAAAATTGCTTTCTGTGAACTTGTTGCTACTTTGGTAACATAAAAAAAAATCTGTTTCCAATTCAAAATACAATAGTTATTTTAAATGAACTCGGATTCAAAATTGTTTCAGTAGCTCAGTTGAAACTATTAACAATAATTGAAACATGTTTTATGTGAATTGCGGTAAAATAGTGAACGAGTAAAATCATACGGTTAAGGATGAATATTTAATCAGAAAAGTACCTTCTCAAAATACGATTCTCTAAAATTAAAATATGTAGCTAATAAACAAGATAATTAATAAGATAGACTATTTCAATTTTATTGAAAATAAGAGAAACATCGAGTCCTGTACAAACATTTAACAGAATTATTCACTTAATTGAGTTATTTTAAAATGTTTAGTTGCTCATAGCAATCACGTTTTGCAATATTTGCACAAATATAAAATAAAATAAGTCGCCCTCGGCTCATATTGCACATAGTTTTATAATATAATCTACTTAGAGTTCACTGGCAACGAAATTCATAATACTACTTTAATTTATTGCTATTCACACTTAGGTATTACTTGATTAAAATTGGCTAATTTAATTTACAATTGAACATTTTAGAAATCGTCTTATAAATTCATTAATTTCTGCGAAAGCGGACGGTTTTATTAAAACGGGGAGAAATAAGTAATTATAAAATACCAAATATGATTAGCAATCAAGACGATTATAACAAGTGTCTAATGAGAAAGATCCGAAGTACTCAGATTTATAAAAATCAAACGTGTCTAAAATTATTATTTATTCATTATACTATATACATTGATGATTATTTTAACTTTCCCCGTCGTCTTAAACTTAACCGTTTAGGCGAAAGAAATGGAACTAAGTAAATTTAGATACATTTGATTTTTGTGCAAGAGATAATAGGTAGTCATAATAATTATTATATTAAAATGACGCACGACCGGCGTGTAGCTGAATTGCCTACGTCAAACGCCGTTTTACATGACGTCAACAATTAAATGCAAACAATATAGTGGTTTTTTTTTAAATTTTTTAGTTATTAATCCTCGGATTAGTTTGTGGCAGCACTCCCATGCTTCTCTATTGCAACTTAATTTTTTCAGGGCCTTGTATTTTCCAATATTCATATCCTTAATTATTTGGGTCTTGTATTTTGCCCTTGGTCTGTCTCTTCATTATGTGTTCTTCAACATCTCATTTAATCATCGTCTTTTATTGGGTTTTTAATTGTTAAGCATGTCAATTTCAATGTTTCAATGACTGAATAACAAGCTCAACACAAGAACACGGAAAAACATATTGTTATACTGTCACAAACGTCTAACAACAGATAAGATTGGATTTTTTTTTTATCATTCAATTTGCTAATGGACAAACGGCATTATTGCGGTAACCCGACACTTATACAGCCATACATTGTCATTTGGCCACAATGTGTGCTCGCTAATGTTGCGAGCTAGTGCATTAATGTGTATAATATACCGACAAAAGAACAACAGCGGCTTAGAACCCACCAACGAAAGGAAAACGAAAATAAAGGCATCGTTTTCGGTCGGTGAACAAAAACTTAGTACAGTGTAACCGTACAAAGTGTAAACGGTCGGACGGAGACTGTTATAGGCTAGCGAGCAAAAACGGCGTTTTTGAAATGAGAAAGTGGCAAAAACATGTAAATGGCTCAGCTTTCTCGTGTGCTTAGATGGCAGGTTAAATTTATCGCAAACTGTATTTTTTTTCTCCTTTGGTTTTTGTTTTCCACCAAAATTCTAATAATTCAAACAGTCGGACGACGTTTCGCCAATGCTATTTCCGCCCTTATATATTTTTTTTTGTCCGCTATCGCCTTTAGCTATCTCATATACCTAACACATAAATCTGCTTAGAATTAAGAACGTATCCTATTTTTTTTATTTATGGCGAACAATTTATTATAACAATGTCACACACACATTGGTGACAATAAAACGTTTTTTGCCGAGCAAACGTGACAACCAACACACCACTTATATTTATATGGAATAAGCATTTGGCTTTTATGGTAAATGTCACGTCGCTTCAATAATGGATATTATAACTTTCACGTTTCATTGATCTCAGAAATAAATACCTATACCTATGTATTACAAATATTTCAATAGTAAAATATATGTTCAATGAAAAATAATATTATTAATTCTATATTTTTTTTGAAAAGATATAAAATATATATCAAAATATATTAATGACACAAATGTTTCAATAATATTTTCATCATAAATTTAGTATTCATTCAAAATAACAAGTATTTTACTTACTTATCATATTTTCTCCGACTGTCTAATTCTTAGAATATAAAATAAGGCAAAATCATATCTGACAATATTTAATATTTGAATAACATGGTACAACGAGTAAACAACCGACACTGTTTTACTTTTAATTTAATTTTATTATGATCATGATTCATGATAAATATGTGTATATTAATTTATAAACGGTACTTATATACATAGTAACTAAGCCTTCTCAGCACAAAATATCCAGCAGACAACAACGCATAAATATTATCAAGCTTGTTACGAGGACCTGGAATTATCCAAATTAAATATTAGGATAATGTCCGAAGTAGTGAGTTAAGTAATAATAATATACATTAAACATATTTAAAGAGTTCATACATTTAAAATTACTTTATATGTTCTGATTAATATACTTTAGGATATTATTATTTTTTGTATTATTTTACATAATATATGACTTTTTTAAGAACCTATTTTCCCAAATCTCTAAACATATTTTTATATAATACAGTATAGTTTAA